TCATAAGACATTTGGGTTGAATCGCATTAAAAAAATGAATTCAATCAATTACTTAATTCAACTCAAGAGCTTATATACCGATTATTAATCTATTCAACTTTGGATGTGAAATAGCCTCTCAGAGTTTCACAAAAGTTTTTCAATTTTGACTTGGAGATCAGAGGTGAAACTTGGAGGGTTGTACGTGCTTGTTGGTCGCCAGCTCCATTAATGAATGCATACATATTGTACCTATATTATACTCTCTCCGTCCCAAATTATTTGCAACGTTTGCTTTTTCAGCAGTCGCGAGAACTTTTATTTATTTCTATGTTTTCTTTGGTTATTTGATAAAATAAAATATTCTTGACACCTCTTATTTTGAAGAACTTTTCGTGTAGTTTTTTTATATGTAAATTTTATTTTTTATTTCTATACCAATATATAAATAAAATGAATTGAAAAAAAGTTGATATTTTGCCTCGGAAATACAAATGTGACAAATATTTAGGGACGGAGGGAGTAATTATAATATTTCTATAGAAATATTCTGCATGTACGTGCAAACGACGCATGCAGAGTCAATAATGATCGACAATATATATATATATATATATATATATAAGCATCTAGCTAGCTAGCTAAGTGCATATCCAAAACAATCTCGATGATTTATATATCCATCCATGATCTTCACCATCAGTACACATACATATATATATACATGTCTATGATGCCAAATGCATGCATGTACTATTAATCTCATATACTCTCTCCGTTTTTTTAAATCATTCCTTTTTTATTTTTTTTGTTTCACTTAAGACACTTTCGCATTCAATTAAAAAATTACTTTTATTCATATTTTTTCTTATCCAATCTATCATATCATAGTTTTTTTACTAATAACCTATCAATCAGATCTTATTTTTACCCATCACATCAAGGACAAAATTGGAAAGTCAACTCTAAATAATCCTTTCTTATTTTTGCCCAAAATGAAAATGGAAATTATTTATAGAAACGGAGGGAGTATCTAGCTAGCTGGGTACGTGATGACATACTATAGATTATATAATCATGACATAGTATGTCATACTTTCTTCTTTATTTGAAAAATATTAAAATTTTATACTCCGTGATTATTTTAAGAAAAACTGGTTTTGAGGTTTATATTTATTTTAAAACGTCATCCATGAAAGATATATGTAATAAGATCCACATTGCACATGTGGACCTTAATTAGTACCACGATAGTCGAGAGCACAACTCTTATATTAAAATGTCTGAAGAAGAGAAGTATAAAGTTTGGTTTAAGACCAACCAAATATACATCTAACCAAATTCAAACCTAAAAGACTTAACCAAGTCTCATCTTAAGAAAAAGACTAAATAAAAAATGGGAACAATGATCATTTTCTCCTTTCAAAAATTTTCTTCCTGCTCATTATTCATAAGGTTAAACGGCATTCATTTGTTGGTCTATTTTGGTTTTTGATTTGATAAAATAATATAGTCTTGTCACATTAAATTTTGTAAATGTATCTTCTAAATATATAATATTTTATTTTTTAATTTTACGTTATTTTTCATATAAAATGTTTGAAAAATACTTTTTTACTCAAATATTATAACCCGAGTACATTTTTTTTAATCAAATATTTCGTCTGTCTAAAGATTATTTTTAGACACACTAAATATATTTAACAACCGGAGTACATTTTTGGAGGGTATCATTTTATGTCATTGTACCTGGCCTTTCCATTTTGGGAGCTGGGGAAAGAATATTTCTTTTTGACTTCTTGCACGTCTTTTTTCATTCACTGGAAATGAATCTCGTCCGTAGGCGTAGGGTAGCAGCCTAAGAAAATAAAATGGCTTTTGAAGTTATCGGAAAGCCCATTGTTTTTCACATTTTATTTGCGGTCATTCCATTCATTGGCCCATAGTCGAACTAAATTTGGACCCGATTTTTTTTTACTGATTGGACTAGTTTTCAAATGGAATAATTTCTCGTTAGTTCATTAATTATTTTTGCGTGTAATACATCAAAACATTCGTTTCATATGCTAGAATACATTTTCATTTCGTAACGGACCAAGATGTTATTGGATTATTTTGACATTTAAACTTGAAAATAAAAAAAATATCCCTGAGTTTGCTGGTAAGAACTCCGAGTAAGGATGTCAATAGGTCGAGCTCGATCGGGTTTAAGTATATTCGAATCCGACCTGGCTTAGGTCGGGTTCAGGTCTGATTTTAACAGGTCGGGGTTGAATATTTATTTTTCAGTTCGAATTCTATTTAAGATTGGATTGAGTCGGTAACGATCAAATTTGGGTTTCAGTACTAATAAACGCATTCATGATTAAATTAAGATTGACATACATTTAAAAATTAAAATTTTAAAGATGACATTAAAGTTAAGATATTAGAAAATATAATTATGACCGAACGACTCTAAAAAAAATAGTAAATTCTCAACAAATAACATACTAGGTACAAGACATATAAAATAGGGATGTCACCAGAATTCTCCACGATAGAAAATAAAATACAAAGAAATGCAATAAATTTTAACACATTCAAAACATATGTAACAAAAAAACAAATTATATATGGGTTTAGAGTTTTTTAAGGTCGGTCAATCAAGTACTCCCTCCGTCCTAAAAACTTTTTTCCAGTTATTTTTCACACGGTCAAACTGTAATCACTTTATTTACCTATTTTCATTAGGTATTTTATAAAATAATATAGTCTTATCACCACTTGTTTTGTAGAGCTTTTGATGTAGTTTTTAAATATATAAATTTTATTTTTTAATTTTACATCTACAATCAAATGAATTGAATTGAAAATAAAGCCTGTCAGACCTCGTAAACAGAAACGAGAAGAACATTATAGGACGAAGAGAGTATAATGCGCGAAACTCAACCCGACAAACGTCGGGTTTGGTTTAAAAATTTTCGGATATTTAATTTTTCAGTTTGGATTTGGATATTATAAGCTTCGATCGGGTCAGTAAAGGTCGGATTCGGGCAGAACTATCATCCTTAACTCACAGGTCCCATAATATTTGAAATATATTCCGGAGTCCTTCAAATTCATGTTAATGTACTCTGATTGCATAATTATGTTCATTTGGTGGTTATGATTGAAAGTTTTCTTACTTTGACCAATCAACCACCAAAAAATTTACTTCGGATTCTTCACATTTTCCGATTATAACTCGCAGGTGGCGTACTATTAAAGTTTTTAGTGTTTGATTGGGCAAAGTAGAAAAACTTGCAATTCTAATGGCCAGGTGGATAGAATATGCCATCAGAGTACAATACTACGAGTTTTAAGGATCATCGAAATATATTTCAAATAATGTACGCCTAGAAAGTTCTTATTAAAAAATCGATAGTACCCACAAAGTAAATTTCTGTCGAAAATAGATGCACATTAACCCATTTGACATTTGATAAAAGGGGAATTTACTTAAATAACGCTAAAATATAATGACTTTTTCTAAATAGCATCACATGTGTTTTTTTCTCAATACAACACTTTTAGTCATCATCCATTAGTCATTATTTAAGTAAATGTTCGCCATCATTGGACATTATGGACATTATTAATTGTTATTTAAGGAATAAAAAACAATTTAAATATTATTTAGAGAAATGACTTACGTTTTAGTGCTATTTAAGATTTCTTGATTAAAATCACTTTTAGACCACAACTCCACAAGTGTTCCGAATCCACGTATGTCAAAATTCGACTAATCCTGCTCAGATTAAGACCGAAAGTCTCACGGGTGGCGGGGTTTGAAATTGGGGACGGACCAGAACCAGAGGGAGCTAATTAAAGTGTTTTCTCGCAATGGGGCCATTGTCTTTCTAAATCGTGATCCTTATAAATTTGTACTCTTATCATTACAGGTAATAAGTTTACTTATTCTGACACTTTTCCACGATTTGTTTTCGAAGGTTTTACCATTAGTATCCCTGTTTTTATAGGCTTCAACAACGACATTGAGTAGGTATAACAAGATTCCTTTTCAATTGGACGATTACACAAAAAAAAAGTCTGAAATATAAAGTTGAGTTAGAAATTGCAAATATTGTACACAAATTTCATTTCTTCTCTCTTGCAACACAAATTCCCTCTCTTTTCTTGCAAAAATATTAATTTGATCATAAATTATACTCTAAAAAAAGATATTTAGTTATATATACTGTAAAGTTTAGTAAAATCAGATTTGTATTAAAAAATAATTTTAACATATCAAATTTTTATCACTTAATTGTTTAAAATTATGTTTAATTTATGGCCAACTGTTATACACTTTGACAAAAAAAGTCAGTCTGTGAATTTTTTTTAAAAGGAGAGAGTATGACACAAAATTGTGCTAAAGCCAGACATAAGAATATATTTCAAAATGATTCCTAGTTATAGAGAACTTTTTATATTTATTCTCTATTTATCAAATATTACAAACTATTAGTATCTAATAGCTTCTTTAGTTTTTTTCCACACCATTTCTTCATCACTCTTATTGTTATCTACGTGTCCAATGTAGGTTGAAACGGTAACTTCTCACATTCGTCTATCAATTAAATTACCCTTCCACGTCATCAGTTACACTCATAACTATCTAAATTTCAGATCTTGTCTTCATAGCAGAACCCGAAAGTTACAGTCTTCGTCACACATGACAATATGAATGTTGCACCCTAAAATTGTGAATTTCATTTTAAATGTCTACAATAACAACAAATAGAGAATCAAAAACAATTCAAATTCTAGCATTAGTAGGGCTACAAAAGTAGAAAGTATGGAGTATTGAGTAAATTTTGGATGTTATTCTATACGGAGTATATGGTAGATTTTTCCACAATATTTTTGGAACTACAAATCAGAGTCAGATTATGCTCAGCCCCTTTACATCTCTTTTTAACATTATTTTACATATATTGTTCCATTTTGCCAACTTTCTCTACAAGTTTGACAAAATTTTAGGATATGTTTTTTTTGGAGAAAAACATAAAAGTATATTTATAGGTATTGTGCGCCTATTAAAAAAAGATTCTAATAAGATAGAAAAAAATTTGGTAACTATTAACACAAAGAATCTTCATCGTTTCTGCCATTGACGGCGGCGGTGAGAACCTCCGCTCGCCGGGCTTCGAGGTCCCAATCTGTTCGGAGCAAAACCAGGAGCATGGTGACCATACAAGACGCCTGCGCCGCCAGCAGCCCCAACCAGAGGCCTTCGAAGTCGAAGCCGCCGTAGAAGCTCAATCCGACCGCCACCGGCATTCCGACGAGGTAGAAGCAGCCGAGATTAATGTGCGCTCCGGTCTTCGGCCTCGCCGTCCCTCTCAGAACCCCGCACCCGGTCGTCTGCGGGCAGTTCCCGAGCTCGCACAGCCCGATCACGGGCAGGACCAGAGCGGTGAGGGCGATTATGTCTTTATCCTCCGTGAACATCTTCGCCCACACATTCCTGACGGAGATGGTGAAAAACAGAGCCGTGATTCCGAAAAAGAAACTTCCGGCGAGTCCCACCACGGCGGCGCGTTTGGCCCTTCCGGGCTCTCTGGCGCCGAGCTCATTCCCCACTCTGGTGGAGACGCTGAAACTGAGGGACGAAGGGAAAATGTAGATCAGGGAAGTGGTCTGAATCAGAAGCCCCATCGAGGCGACGGTGGCCGTCGGGTTCACAAGCAGACCGCAGAGAAGGATCATGATCTCGTACCACCACCACTCCAGGCAAACGGAGACGCAGCTCGGAATCGCCAGATTCATCAGAGCCCTCCACCCTTTCAGGCATTCCGACGACACTGTCTCCCAGGTCTTCTCGTACACGCCGGAGATAACAATATAAACGATCAAAGAACCGACAAGATTGAAATTTGTCCACACCCCGCTGAGGGCGACCCCTTTGACCCCCATACCCATCTTCGTCACCAGGAAATAATTGATGGGCACGTGGAGAACAATGGAGAAAGCCGCGCAGAAGGTGAGAGGCAGAGTGATCGACTGGGTTCGGAGGTAAATCCTCAGGGGATGAAGAAAGGACTGGGCCACGAGATCGGGAAGGGAGTAAATCAGGTAAGATTGGGCCTCGGCGGCGATCGCCGGGTCTTGGCCGCAGAAAATTAGAATCTTTTTAATGTTGACCCAGAGGAGGGAAATGGGGAGGGAGATCAGGAGGAGTAAAAGAATGGTTCTTTGTAAGGTGAGGCCGAGGAGGGAGTATTTCTTGGCGCCGAAAGCTTGGCCGCAGATGGGTTCCATTCCCATTGAGAGGCCGGAGAGGATGGAGTAGCCGGTGATGTTGGCGAAGCCCAATGCGAGGGAGCCGCCGGCGAGGGAGAGGCCGCCGAGGCGGCCGAGGAAGAGCATGGAGATCATGGACCGGGAGTAGAGGATGAGGCCGGTGAGGATCATGGGGAGGGCGATTCGGGCAATAGCCTCTGCTTCCCGGAGGACAAGGGAGACAGGGAGGGTCTTCTCCTGCCGGGGCTTTGACGACGGGAGCAGGGGGAGAGAGAGAAGGCCGTTTGTTTTGTCGGTGGGCTCCGAAGGGAGGAATACGTCCGGCGACGGCCCCATCGCCGCCGTTACAGAAGAGAGTGCGGGGGAGTTACACATTGCCTCTCTCTCTCTCTGTGTGTGTTTTTTAGGTGATTGAGGAAGAAGAAGAAGAAGAAAGAAAGAGAAGGGAATTTTGGATGGTTAAAAGCGGGAGGAGAGAAAGGGCGTTTTATAGAGAGAGGAAGAGAGGAGCCCAAAAGCTGCAACTGTTGAAATTTTGTCCCATATTGGTGTCACATGTGGTAGCGGATTAGACCCGCTCCTGCTTATCTTTTATTCTCTGTTTTGTTTTTTTATAACAAAACTAGTACCAACCACCGGTGTACACATTAATAAATGATTTATACATAAACAAATATTTTTGGAAAATGCTAGGATGCCACTACATGTGTGCTACCTTGGGTGCACTCATACTTCGCACAGACAAACACAGACGATAATTGTCTGTGTCGCACAGACAATTATCGTCTGTATTTGTCTGTGCGAAGCATGGGTGCACCCATGGTAGCACCCATGTGGTGGCACCCTAGCATGGTCCAATATTTTTATCTATGTACCGAGATAATTATTGTTGTGTATGTATTAAATCATACTCCCTCCGTTTCACAAAACCTCTTCTCTCTCGTTTTTTTGAATTCCCTAAAACACTTCCACTTTCTATTAAAAACTACTTTTATCCTTATCTTTTCATACCCTACGTATCACATCATACTTTTTCATTAATAACCAAACTATCACATCTTACTTTTACACATCACATCAGGGGAAAATTTGGATAGTCAACCAAAATTACACTTTTCTTATTTTTGCCAAAAGTCAAAAGTGGAAGAGTTTAAAGGAACGGAGGGAGTATGTGATTCTCTTTCATAAAGGTAACTGTGGTGGTTCCTAGCATGATAATTTTAAAAATATTTTCTCAATATCATACTCTCTTCGTCCATAAATAAACTTCTCGTTGCGCGTTACGATTTTTGACTAAAGTTATTTTCAAATCATTTATATGAAAAATAGTTTAAAGTTTAAAAATAAAAATTACATATTGAAAAACTACATCAAAAGATCTACAAAACTAGAGGTGACATGACTATATTATATTATCAAATGAGTAACGAAAATAGGTCAACAAAGTGAATAAAGTTTGACCATGTGAATAATAAACGAAAAGTTTTTTTTGGAAGGATCGTAACGATAGCGTTTTAGCATTGACACATGAAATACATCGTGGATCTTGTTCAGTTCTAGTGGAAGTTCCAACCGATAGGCTATTGGACCCATCGTTCAATGATACAATAGGGTCCAATATACATTGGGCTCAATTTTCCCTTCCTACAAAATCGTATCACTTTCTGCCATGGTAAAACTTTCAGAAACACCATATCATCTACATTGTATTATTCAATCTCACGATGTTTTAAGTATGCATACAATTTCTATCAATCAAAAGCTATTTGTAGTCTTTCTGTAATTAGGCAAACTTTTTCTTCAGTTTCTCGTACTAGATCAGGTCCTTCAAGCTTTTGCTCACGTAATTTAGTCCAACATACTAGGTAACTACAATGCCTCCCATCCATTGCTTCGTACGAGGCCATTTAGGTGCTAGCTTGATAACTGGTGTTATAAGCAAACTCCATTAAAGATAGGTGTTGTTCTCAATTGTTCCCAAAATCGATCACACATGCTCTCATCATATCTTCCAAGATTCGAATCATCCTCTCAAATTGTCTGTTTGTCTGAGGATGAAATATCGTACTAAAGTTGAGTTTAGTATCTAGCACTTTTTTGCGAACTTTTCTAGAACTGTGACATAAACCGGGGGGAGGGGGGGTCACGATCAGAAATGATCGACAGAGGCACACCACGCTAACTTACGATCTCATGGATGTATAACTCTGCTAACATTTTCAATGACGTGTCACGTCCCATAAGTATGAAATGAGCTGACTTGGTCAATCGGTCAACAATCACCCAAAAAGCATCATTCTTCTTAACTCGGCACTAGACGAATAAACTACCAATAGTTATACGTCATAATAGTAGTAGTATTAATAATAATAATAATAATAATAAATAATAATAATAATAATAATAATAATAATAATAATAATAATAATAATAATAATAATACAGCCTTTTGCTATCTTTAACATCCATAGGTCTATCACATACTCCGTGACATAAATAATGAATAAGTTGCTTTGGCAAAGCTCATATAATAAAATTGATGGACACCCAATAAGGGTGTGTGTATGTGTTAGATTATACTATAACACAATATAATGTTCAAACTCTGATACAAACATGAGTTGGAATGGTATGTGTATTCATATTATTCCACGTGCAGTTTCTTTTTGGGGCACTGTGGTCACAACATGCAGTGTTATTTGCACATATAAATTTGAGATGATATATACTACTTCCCTTCCCAATTATTTATTCAGTTTTGATTTTTTTAAGTAATTTATTTTAATTAAAATCTTTGACTTATAATTAAACAAAATATATATTGTTTAATTTAATATCATTTTTATTTAATTATAATTTAAAGTTTACTAATTTTATTTGAAAAAAGTTAAAAGTACACAAATAACACCGGATGAAAGAGGGTATAAATATATTGTGGAGTACAAATTAAAGAGGTCATCATGATCAAATTGAATGGCCCAAAGTGAGCTGTACCAAATGACTTAAATACTTGCTGCTTATTGCATTCTTCTTCCATTCTTTTTTTTTTTTAATTTCTTTATTATAAAAAAGGGTTTTTGCCCACACTCATTGACCAACCATTCAGCCATTGCTCACACTCCGTAAGTATTTCTCCTTCCTCCCAACGAGGAAGTTAGGTTTCATTTTCTGTGCATCACACAAGACAATTTTTTTGTGTGTCAAATGTTAGGACTTAGGGTAAATACGGTAATTTTTGGACATTTTAGATCTAGGTAGAAGTGTTTTTTGAGATACACAAAAATGAAATGTAACCTTCTTTTTTGGACAGAGAGAGTATACATGGTGAGTTGTACTTCGTGAGTACTCTCTCTGTCCCTAAAAACATTAAAAAATTTGGATTCAAGGGAAGTATTTGCGGTATTAAATTTTTAAAAATACCATGTGATTTGATGAGTAAAAATTGGATTTGATGAGTAGATTAATAGTGAATAGATGTGATGTGATAGATAAGTTAAGAATTAGTAGGAGTAAAAGTAACTTTTTAATAGATTTGAGAATTTTTTTTAGATGGATGAAAAAAAGAAAAAAGATTTTCAGAGGACCGATGGAGTATTATGTATGAATTTTGGGAGCAATGGTGTCACTTATAGTATTTCGAATAAACCGTGCAATTCTATGATACTAATGTGCACTTTTAGAGTTTTTAATAAAATACATGTTGATGGTGTAAAACCAACGTGAGTACTAAGTCACAAAAGGCGAAAGATTGTAGGTAAGAACACATGTAACCTGATTTGTTATTATGATATGGGACCGATTACAAATTACAAGCCTCGTGGATTATTAACTGTTTGCCTCTTTATAAGAATAGAAAAACACTTCTTATCGCTACTGTTCATCTCAAGGCATCCTCCCGGCCAGTCTTTAAGTCATTCAATCTTCAAGCCTTCCACGAATAAATTCACGATCTCATGGATCTGGCCCTTGACATCCACCTGGTCAAATTACCGGGGTCGGTGAGGTCAGACTACAGTACCTCGCGGGAGCTGTGAACTTGCCGGGTGGTACCAATAGGTTATACCCATCACATGTAAAACTGCAAATGTATTAAGGCACAATAATTCAAATTAAGGGTTTTGCAATATGAGCACTCTAAGCTAATTAGAAGTCATAATAATGATATATATATATATATATATATATATATATATATATATATATATATATATATATATATATATATATATGGGAGTGTCTAAAATGACACCAGTTACTTATACACCAGTCGCTTACACCAATTCGTTTGGGGTACCTACAGTGCCCCGTTTGTAAACATGATGATTCCTACCCCCCTAACCCTCCCCCTAAACCCCCACCTCAGCCCCACCCTTGCTCCCCTACCCCAGCCCCCCTCCCTACTCTGGTAGTAGATATGTTGATTTCTGACCACTTGACCAATTGCATAAAACAAGTAGATGATACAATGGTAATCAACATATCCTTTTGCTATTATAAATTCTTAAGACATCAATAAATTCTAAATTTATGTAATCTTTGTAGTCTCAACTATTCTCATATCCTTTTGAATTTGTGATAAACTTATCTCTCCGTGCATCATACCGGCGATGCAGTAGTATAATTTAAAGTCTGTCTTGATTTTGAAACTATACATATATACACACATATATTAGCGGCCGGGTTTTGTTTGTTGACAAATGCGAAATATAATCACATTCCGTGGGGCTTTACCCATTGATTTCACACACCAAACCAAATCGAATTGGGCACTAAAAGCTACTCTAATAAATAGTCTCTTCGTCCTAAAATTAACTTTCCAGTTTAACTTTTGTAGTCAAACTTTTTAAATTTTGACCGTATATTACGGAAAAAATACATTGAATTTTCATATAAATTTATTAACAATAGATTCATTTTGAAACATAGTTTTGAAATATACAATTTTTATAAAATATATTTATATAAAAATTGAGATATTGATGGTCAATGTGTTGCATTGGAGACCGTGAAAAGTCAAATGAGAAGTTAATTTTAGAGGTTGTTTGGTAGTGCGCTTCTTTTAACAATTTAGAATCTGCTTTGAGTGAAAGTGATTTTACTCTGTTTGGCATGTCAGCTTCTTCTTTTCATCAACATTATTTTATACATGGAACACCGTTTCGGAGAAGCAAGTATGATGTGCTTTTGCTTTCAGCTTTTGTAGAAATCACTTTATCTATAAGCTAATCGCACCAAATATCCTAAGAGGACGGAGGGAGTAGAATAGATTTATTTGTTCCATACATACTAGTGACCCAAGAAAGGGAAGAATATGTAGTTGAAAAAACAAAGGGAGTAACTTCCGTCTCGTCTCCAAACGCTATTATTCCCCATATGCCGTTCCCAATCCGGAGCTGAAATTAATTTTAATCTCAACGAAAAAAAGTAAACCAAAAAGAACCAATTCTAATTAAATTAGTGAAATTTGTATTGAATAGGACTAAAACATAAGTCATTTCTTAATGTAGAACTTAATTTTTTTTATTCCCTAAATAGGATTTAATAATGACATTTAGTTGAATAATGAGTAATAGATTATGACCAATGGTTCTTCATTAGAAAATAAAACATATGCTCTTATATTTAGAAAGTTATTATGTTTTAGTCATATTTAGATAAATTACCCATTAAATTACTCTAAAGTTGTTTTACTCCCTAATAAACTTGTTTTCGAAATTAAGTAGTGCATTTATATCGTAAAAAAATTGGGCCTTTAGTAAAAAAGG